AAGAATAACATGTCAGCCATCTTGATTCCCTGGCTTTGCACAGAGCCAGGCACATGGTACACAGGAAGTGACCAATTAAGCAAACAAACAACACCAACAATAAAAACAACTCTCGATCTACAATTCTGTGGAGGCCAAAGCTCCTGCTTTCAAGGGGCTTATTCAGTGGAGGAGTTGCTTATAACCTCACAATAAATATTTGCTGAATCATGAATTAATGTGCTCTAATTCTGATTCTCCCAGGTTGATAGGTTATTACCAAAATCCATCTGCTCTCAGTGTGATTTGTGGCTCAACTATTTTTTTTATCTTGGCTAATAGGACTTACTACTCTGTAGTCTGGCTTCTGCACTACACTGCATTTATCACCACCCCCAGTACCGGACTCTCATCATAAAGCTATGCAGAGAAATTGGCGGGAAATTCACTGTCCATGATAGTGGACATGATAAAACGTCATGTTAGCCTGGAGTGGGAAACTAAGCACACATACTGTTAGTCGGTGTGTAAGATGATCAGCTTGGCAATATATATCAACATTTTTAATGTACGTCTTTTTAGCTGCATTTCCACTACTAAAAATTTATTTTATGAACATACTTGCACAAATTTCCAAATGTGAATTATAAGAGTATTCATTGAAGTAATAGTTGAACTAGCATACATCTAAACATTGTTATATCCATACCCTGGAATTCCATGCAGTTATTTAAAAGGATGCCACAGATATAAATGTGCTAAGAAGGAGTGAAGTTCAATAGTCACGCATCATTTAATGATGGAGATACTTTCTGAGAGAGGTGTTGTTAGGTGATTTCATCATTGTGCAAACATCATACAGTGTACTTACACAAACCTAGATCATAGAGCTTACTACACACCTAGGCTAGATGGTGTAGCCTATTGCTCCTAGGCTACAGACCTGCACAGCATAGTACTGTACTGAATACTGTAGCAATTGTAATACAATGGTGAGTATTTGTATATCTAAGCATAGGAAACGTACAGTAAAAATACAGTGTAAAAGATAAAAAATGTACTTTGGGAGGCCGAGGCCGGCAGATCACGAGGTCAGGAGATAGAGACCATCCTGGCTAACATGGTAAAACCCCGTTTCTACTAAAACTCCAAAAAATTAGCTGGGCGTGGTTGCACGTGCCTGTAGTCCCAGCTACTCAGGAGTCTGAGGCAGGAGAATTGTTTGAACCTGGGAGGCAGAGGTTGCAGCCCCTGCACTCCAGCCTGGGCGACAGAGTGAGACTCTGTATCAAAAAAAAAAAAAAAGAAAAGATACACCTGTATAGGGCACTTAGCATGAATGGAACTTGCATGACTGAAAGTTGCTCTGAGTGAGTCAGTGGATGAGTAAAGAGTGAATGTGAAGACCTAGGACATTACTGTACATTACTACAGATTTTATAAGCCCTATACTCTAGCCAGGCATGGTGATGCACATCTATAATCCCAGCTACTCAAGAGGCTGAGGCAGGAGGATCACTTGAGCCCAGGAGTTCTAATCCAGCCTGTGTAACATAGCAAGATCCCATCTCAAAAATTAAAAAGTGAAAATAATAAATAAACCCTGTATACTTAGGCCACACTAAATTATTTATTTATTTTTTCCTTCTTCAATAATGAATTAAACTTAGCTTTCTATAACTTTTTACTTTAAAAACTTTTTAATTTTTTTAACCTTTTATTTTGTAATAATACTTACCTTAAAACACAGATTGTATAGCTGTACAAAATTATTTAATTTCTTTATATCCTTATTTATAGCAGCTGTTTTCTATGTTTAAAATTTTTATTTTTATTGTTTTTACTTTTTAAGTTTTTTGTTAAAAACTAAGATACAAACAGGTACATTAGCCTAGGCCGACACAGGATCAGGATCATCAATATCACTGTCTTCCACCTTCACATTTTGTCCCATTGTAAGGTCGTCAGTGCATGGAACTGCCATCTCATTCATATATATATATATTTTTTTTTTTTGAGACGGAGTTTCGCTCTTGTCACCCAGGCTGGAGTGCGATGGCATGATCTCCTCTCACTGCAACCTCTGCCTTCTGGGTTCAAGTGATTTTCCTGCCTCAGCCTCCTAAGTAGCTGGGATTACAGGTGCCTGCCACCACACCCAGCTAATTTTTGCATTTTTAGTAGAGATAGAGTTTCACCATGTTGGCCAGGCTGGTCTCGAACTCCTGACCTTAGGTGATCCACCTGCCTCGGCATCCCAAAGTGCTGGGAATACAGGCATGAGCCACTGCGCCCAGCCTCGTCTCCTCTATTAAAATTCTTTCTTCTAGAATCCTTCTGAAGAACCTGCCTGTGGCTGTTTTATAGTTAACTTTTATACATACATATGTGTGTGTGTGTATATATATGTGTGTGTGTGTATAAATATGTGTGTATGCATGTGTAGAAAGTACAGTCTAAAATAATAATAAATAGTATAGTAAATGCACAAACTAGTAACAGTTGTTTATTGTTATTATCAAGTATTATGTACTTGATAATGTGGCATACTGTGTTATGTGGTACACTTTTAAATGACTGGCAATTCAGTAGGTTTCTTTACACTGACATCACCACAAGCACGCAACTAATGTGTTGCATTAAGATGTTACAATTTTTCAGCTCCATGGTAATCTTACAGGGCCACTATCATATATGCGGTCCATTGCTGATCAAAACATCATTATGGGGCACATGACTGTATTATTAATTGAAAATATAAGACGTTGAAGAGTAACGTTCAGCATTAACCCATTCGTGTAAACAAAGAGTAGATATACAGTCATGCACCACATCATGACATTTCGGTCAACAATGGACGGAATATACAACAGTGGACCCATAAGATTAACCTGGAGCCTAGTGGCAACATAGCCATCATAATGTTGTAGAGCAATTACCTTTTTAAAAATAAATTTAGTGTAGCCTAAGTGTACGGTGTTTATAAAGCCTACAGTAGTATACAGAATGTCCTAGACCCTCACATTTACTCACCATTCACTCCACTCACCCGAGCAACTTCTAGACCTGCAAACTCCATTCATGGTAAGTACCCTATACAGGGTTTTTTTTTTTTTTTTTTTAATCATTTATACTGTATTTTTACTGTACCTTTTCTATGTTTAGATACACAAATACTCACCACTGTGTTACAATTGCCTACAGTGTTCTTTTTTTTTGGGGGGGGGGATGGAGTTTTGCTGTGTCGCCCAGGCTGGAGTGCAGTGGTACAATCTCTGCTCATTGCAAACTTCACCTCCCAGATTCAAGTGATTCTCCTACCTCAGCCCCCCGAGTAGCTGGAACTACAGGTGTGTGCCATCAAGCCCAGCTAATTTTGGGGTTTTTAGTAAAAACGAGTTTTCACCATGTTGGCCAGGCTGGTCTTGAAGGCAGGTCTCAGCCTCCCAAAGTGCGGGGATTTACAGGCATGAGCCACCATGCCTGGCCAATTGCCTTCAGTGTTCTGTTACAGTACCATGGTGTACAGATTTGTAGCCTAGGAGCAATAGGCTATACCATATAGCCTAGGTGTGTAGTAGGCTACACCATCTAGGTTTGTATAACTACACTTTACGATATTTGTGCATTGATGAAATCGCCTAACGATGCATTTCTCAGAACATATTCCCATCATTAAGAGATGCATGACTGTATATATTTGTATGTGTTTTTAAGTTACTGCAAGAATATACAAAAATATTAATAGTGCTTGTAACAGTGAATGGTATAGGAGGAAGGAAGGAGGATTCTATTTTTTATTTCATACATTTCTGCAGTGTTTGAATTATTTTTATTGAATATATTACTTTCATTATTTTTAAAAACGTCTTCTTCCCACCTTCTTGTCTTGTCTATTTCAGCCTAGCCAACTAGGTTTTCTCAGGACTGAGGTTATTTATTCCATATTAACTCTGTCTCAAGCTCATATGCATCTCCCAAGATTCTTCTTCCCAAACCACTTTAGGTTTAAGAATGACCTTTCCTAGGTCTTTAGCTTATGATTAAACAAATGAAACCATCAATAGATAGACCCCCTAATTCAGGTGTTGAATTACAAAAATGAATTTTCAGGGGGAAAAATGCTAACTCAATTGTGTTAGTTAAAATATCAATAAACATTAGCGATGACACAGTGTCATGAAGCGGAAGGTCAAAGACTTACACACCCTTCACTGGGCGCCATGGTGGGACTTAACTGGGGCAGTTCCGGTTCTGCCATTAGGACCATGAGCACTCCAATCTCAATGAAATTGTATAAGACACTGCCATTATCCCCGGATCATTGCCACGATAGACCCAAACAACTCCAGTCTATCGTGTCAATGGGTATTTGGGGAGTCTTTAACACACGGATCATTGGCAAGCTGTGCCATAAAAACCCTGTAGGAGCCGTGACCGTGTGTGGAATCAATGCACACTCGGGGACTCCCCCATGCCCGGATCATTTGCAGCGCATCGTGTCAATGCATACTCCGGGAGCTCTTACTCTGAAGCCTGTGAGTGCTGAGGAACAGTGTACACCAAAAATACTTATGAAATAGTGGTTACAGTGCGTACACAGTATTCACTTTTCTAAATGGCATGTCAGCAAGTTCAGTGTGCCACAAATAACTCCTAAAAGGCACAAAACACTCCTACAGGCCCACCTTCACACAGGAACGGTTGGTCCATGGAATTGTGGCATGGCTGTGGGGGAGTGTAAGTTCTTCTTTACAGTAAAAAAGGGAAAAGGAAGAGACATCTCCTACGCAGTGTTGTCAGGGTTTTCAGCATAATCCCAAACACCTCCTAATTTTTTCCTGGGCATTTGATCCCCAAGATACAAGGACCTTCCCTCCATCCCTGCCTTGTTCCAAAGTACCCGGAGAGCAAGATGAGAGGGCAGAGTTAGAGGAGAGGTGGGGTTGGGTCTTAAATGCGGTCCCACAGAAATACAGTGTGAGCCACGTGTGTAAATTTAAATGTTCTTTGTAGCCACATTTAAAAAAAAAATTAATTCATGATACTTTATTTCACCCCATATACCCAAAATATTATCATTTCAATATGCAACCAATGTTTTTAAAGGATGAATGAGCCAGTTCACATTCTTTTTTTCATACAGTCTTCTTTACAATGGAGTGTGTATTTCCCACTTGGAGAACATCCTGGTCTGGCCTGGCCACACTGCAAGCACTCAGCAGCCTCTTGTGGTCAGTGGCTGCCCCAGTGAGCAGCACAGGGGCAGAGGCCCAGGAAAACCAACCCCAGGAGCGTGGATGTTCACTGCCTTCCTTCAACCACTCCAGGCAGGTGCGTCCACCTTTCCGCCTCATTTCCTTAGCAGGGCTGCAACTGCGCAATAGCAGCCTTTTCTCAGCAGCCTGACAGAATAGCTGTGTGTTGGGTTTCTGTAATCATAAAAATGACCACAAATACGCATTCGGAAAGAGGGACGAAAACTTCTCTAGGCCCAAATTGTAATGGAGTACTAGGTCATCTTTCTTGGAGACGGAGGTGAAGGGAGGGCAAGGGGCCCCTGGGGAAGGAAAGAGGGGGTGGGCGTGGCGTCGAGTGCGGGGGCGGCGGCCTGACTGCACTCACTAACTTCCCCAAACCTGCCGCCAGCTCACCTCGCGGCGTGCGGGGTCCCTGGCAGTCGGACGCGGCAAGGTGGCTGGTTTCTGGGGCTGAGTCTGGCCGGACACAAAAGAGGAGGGAAAGGAGGAAACGGAGACAAAGGCGCGGGGGAGGACGAGGAGGCGCGCGCGGTCGCGGGGCGAAGCGGGGATGCGGGGCGGGCACGCGCAGCCCCGGGCTCCCGGGACTGGCGGGCGGGAGCAGGCGGAGCGGGCAGGGCGATTTGAATATCAGGCTCTGCCACACTTGGGGCGCCGCTGACAACTTCATTACCTCCGCATATAAAAATGACTGCCGGGGAATGCAAATAGCTAGCGCGTCTCAGCCGCCTGCCCCCGTTCCGCCGCCTGCTGCAGGCGGAGGCCCCGGGAGCCACGGCGGCCCGAGGCGCAGACGCGCCCTGTCCAACATAATGAACTGCCCGGCCGCGGCTCCGCCCACGCCCCCGCCCGCGCCCGCGCCGCCAAGCCCGGCCGGGATGGGGAGCCGGCCGGGTGCGGGAGGAGGAAGGGGTGGGCGGCCGGGCGCGGCTCAGAGGCCGCGCGTTGCTAGTCAGTGTCGGCAAATGCCCTGCTTTTGACTCTATCATCCAATTAATGCCGTGAAAATGCCAGGAAAATAAGAGTGCTCGGTGGGTTCCACTAGTGACCGCGAACTCTGACGGAAAAGCGGGACCCCCGGCCTCCGTCCCGTGCGCCCTCGTGGTTAAATTGGACGCCAGCATCCCGGCGCCCCGCTCTCGCCTCTACTGCAAGCCGGCGGCAGGTGTGCTGCACCCTGCTCCCCAGGCCTGCGGCCCCCGCGGCCACCTGGACGAGGCTGCGTCGCAGTGCAGGACCCGCCTCCCGAACCCTGGGCCTTCCTTGCTGGGCTCCCCGGGTGGCCACCGAGGCCAGCCGCGTGCGGGAGGGAACGCAGGCTTCACGGCGCCTCTCTTCTTGTCCTGGCTTGCTCCCTGGCAAGAAGTCATCTCCTGCCTTCTGATAGCTCTCCCTGTCACATTTGGGCCCCTTGTGAACTTCTCGAGGGGAGGAGCTAGGTCACTTTTATTAATGATAGCAACAACGACAGTAGTAAACATCTACTGAGGATTATTCTATGCAAGGCACTATGCCAACTGCTTTACCTACATTATGTTTATCACAGCGATCTTACTGCTCTCCTGGAAACCAGGCTTAGCAAAGGCTTGCAAGGTGCCCAGCATAAGCCAGCTAGGGTGGAGGGAGCACAGATGAGAACCCAGGCTCCTCTGCACTCTCCATCACTCTGCAGTATTTTCCCCGTCCTTCTTACAGCTCACACAACTGTCCAGCACTCCTTCCTCCCGCGACCGCATCACCCCCAGCCATTTTAGGCCAGGCCAGCCCCCACCGCCCCCATCCCCCCACCCCTTCACCCCCTCCCTCTCCTTGGCCCAGAAGTAAATCCTAAGTAGCCTAAATCGGTTATGACCAACCCCTACCCTTGCCCAGGCATTGGCTTAGAAAAGGGTATGTGACCAGTCCTGGCCAAGGCCAAGCCAGGGGACATCTGCTGGGATTTTCTGGGAAATGCTTCCTTGTTCTAAGAAAAGACACCCGTAGAAGCAGTTCCAGTTTCTTCTGTTGTATAATGTGCATCTCCACCACCTGGCAACCACTGAGGAGCCAGGGAACAAAGTTAGTCTTTGCAGAGATTTACAGCGTTAAGTGAGCTAACTCCAGTGTTAAAGTTTAGGAGAATCATGTTTTAGTCCTATCTCTACCTGCGATGTAGTCATCGTGTTTATTCAGGGACATATTTAAACTTATCTCCTTTTTGAAACAAGACAAGATATGAAGATGTAAACAAAGGAAAACTCCAGAAATTTCGTCTTGTCTCCATTAGAGTGTGTTTCTAGGCACTTCAGTGGAACCTGTCTCTTCCAGCTTCTCTTCCTGGGCTCTCACCTCTTAACTCATTCAGCTTTTTCTCCCAACTCCCTTTTCCCCCAAAATAGCTCTTTGCCTACACAGCCAAGGCATCTGTTCCCTCCAGGAACATCAGAACCCCCCTTCTAACCATCCTGCACCCACACACCCAGGCGTCTGAGCTTGACTGCCTTTGAAATGTTTACTGGCCTTCAAGTAGTCTCTGAAGAATTTGCATCTAATTTTGAACTTAGGGAAAATCAGGCATAACCAGTCACTTACTAGTTTCCTTGGCAACTGCTTTAAAACAGACCTGAATTGGAATGAAAATGGCTTTTTATGGTTTCACTAAAATCATGCACACTTTTCATGAAAATATACCGAAAAAACTATAAAAAATATATATGTACTATATGCTTTATTAATTTATCTGGAATCAATACACAGTAACTAACTCAAATATCTGTTCCCCACTGCTGAGGAAAGGCACCCCACACTCCCTTAGCAAGACATTTAAGACGCTCCACAATCTGCACCTAACCCAGCTCCAGCTTTATTTGTCTACTACAGTACACCCCCAAATCATGCTATTGCATTTCCTCTCCCATGACATTATCTAGAATGCCCTTGAACTTCATGTCCAACTGTTCAAATACCACCGATCCTTCCAAGTCCAGATTAAATATCACCTCTTCCAAGAAGTTTTTCCCGTTCCTCACATATAATGACACAAATTGAGTTACTTAGTGTTTATTTTCAGCAATATTTAGCATATTTTATTTACTGATACCCAGTATTGTTAAAATAATGCACATTTCCTAACAGTTGGGGGGCTTACATATAACCATGCAAACAATTAAAATGAGTAGTAAATATTATCAGCAGAATTAAACTCCCAACTTAAGGCTGAGCTGTTCTCTCAGATGTGATAAAATAAAGCTTCATATGCTGCTTGTTTTTCTTAGGATAACTTTGATTTCAGTAATAAAAAACCTGTCTGTAGTAGCTTTAAAAATGAAAAAAATGTGGTATCTCATGTAGGAAGTCCCAAGGTAGCAGATGCTAAGTTTGGTTAATTTAGTGGGTCAAAAATGTTTAATGTTGCCAAGTTTTTCTCGTCTTTCCGAAACTGCCATCCTCAGCTTGCTGACCTTGTCCTTAGCTAGTTCTCCTCAAGGTCTCAAAATGGCTGCCATGGTTCCAGGCATCACTTTAAGACATGGAAAAGCCAGACAAAAAAGTTGACTGTTCTCTTAAATTTTTTAAGAGTGGAGAAATTATACCAAAGATCCCTCAGATCTTTTCTCATTGGCCAGAACGAGGGCACACGACTATCTCTAAACTACCACTGGCAAGGGAGGCAAGATTATCAGAATTGATGACTAATCAGGATTTAGCCTTGAATTACATTGAGGGTAAGGGGAGCCGTGCAGGAGAGCAGGGAATTGACAGGACAGGCAGTGCCAAAACAAAAGCTGAATTTTAGCCAGTTTCCCAGTCATCAATTTCTGCAACCAAACCATCCCAAAGCTTAGTGGCTTAGAAAATTTTTTATTTTTTCTCTAGAATCTGGACAGGGCTCCTAAGGATAAGGAATAAGGGAGGCTGGCTATTGAGTAGGCACTAAAAGTATCAGGAACTTTTTTTTTTTTTTTTTGAGATGGAGTCTTATTCTGTTGCCCAGGCCAAGCTGGAGTGCAGTGGCGCAATCTCAGCTCACTGCAACCTCCGCTTGCCTGGTTCAAGGAATTCTCCTGCCTCAGCCTCCCCAGTAGCTGGGATTAAAGGCACACACCACCACGCCTGGCTAATTTTTGTGTTTTTAGTAGAGACAGGGTTTCACCATGTTGGCCAGGCTGTCTCAAACACCCAACCTCAGGTGATCCTCCCATATTGGCCTCCCAAAGTGCTGGGATTACAGGCCTGAGCCACTGCGCCTGGCCAGTATCAGCGACTTATGATGGCTTTTTATTTGAAGATCAAAACCAATCACCCTTTGATTATTCTTATATTGGTTCTTTCTACCAAAAAAAAGTGTTTGAAAAAATGGTGTATATTGAATTAGTCAATAGCAAACTGATTGGCTGAATCCAATTGTTAATTTTCTTAAGGTGCAGTAAAATATTTGCTCTTTTGCTTTGCTTTCTCCTCACTGAATAGCCATGTTATGGATCCCACATAGAATTTTGCCTTTAACAATATAAATGCTTGACTGAATTAAGCCATTTTTGCCCTAAGTTCTTTAGTTTGTAGACATCTGAGAATTAAGTCAGGAGAATAGCAAATAATTATTTTGATTTAGCAAATAATTTGATAACTGGATTATTCACCATCAGAATATTTCTCTTTGAAAACATGTAAATCACAGAAATGTTTGAAGATAAAACTATTAGTCAGTCCCCTCTCAAACGCAGATAGGAAAATTGTAACATGTAGTCTTTGTTTTGTAATGTCACTTCGTTATCCTAAATAGGCCTTCTAGTTCTCTTTTAATTTATATCTATATATAAGGTAAGAAAATTCTTAAGTAGTGGCTAAGTCATGTCATTTGTCTGGAGTCAATATACGGTAACTAATCAGAATGTCTCTGGTCCCCACTGCTGAGGTAAGGCAGCTCACACTCCCTTAGCAAGACATTTTTAGTCCTGTCATTTACTAAAATACCACATGGACTTCCTTTTGTCATCATATCTTCCATCTTCTAATAAATGTATAAGTGTCTCTAGGACAATACCTGGTCGGATGATGGATGTTCATACCATCATACTCTCCCTTTCTTTTCAAGACACTCATGGAACTGCTTGCACAAAATCTGATGTATTCCAATACCATCTCTGTGAATCATAGACCTTTAAAGCCAGAATGACAGTCCTCTAATTTGACAGGCAAAGAAACTAAGGCCCTAGAATTTAGAGAATTTTCTGGAAGTTACCAGACTTGTTAGTGACACAGTGGGATCTCATTATCTTGTTTTCTGGTTGGTTGCCTCTTAGACCATACGTTGGTATTAATGATTAACATGAAGTACAGACCTAACTCTAACCAGGTTATGAGTCAGATTCTTTAATATGGAGTTGGTGGCACTCATTCAACCAGGTCCCTGTAATCTCCACCCCAGCATACCCAGAGATCCCATCAAGTCTCATTCCCAGGTACCTGAGGTCTCCTCAAATCCCTGTTTCATTACCTGTGCCAGCAGCCCACGCAAACCCGGGGTTCAAGGAAGGTACTTGACAAGGTGCTTCTTCCTGTCCCCATTGAGCTGGGGCAGTCAGGGGAAACAGAGGGGACAGCTGGTGATGCATCGCCTCCTGTCTATGCACCTTCACAGTGAATTTAAGTCTGAATCTTCAGATTCATATCTGACAGCTTAATCATAAAAGAAGGTTTTTGCTTCTCAAATGTTAATTGAATTTTCCCCCTTAAACAATTGTTTGAATTTAGACACCCTGAGGCCTGTATTTTTTCAGTGTGGAATTATTCCATTGGCAGCATGCATTCGAATCCACAACTCATGTTTCAAATCATACATTTCTAAAAAGAGAAACCAATGTGCTCCAATTCACTAATACTTTTAAACAATTAAAAGACAACTAAGAAAATGAAACCTAACCACGACTATTTGTACCCTTCTTTTTCTTCAACCAACAATTGCTATAATCCGCACTAATGAGGTAGACTGTGTTAAGAATTTTCTTCACTTAACATTTCTCATTATTAATAAATTCTGCGCTGACAACTATAAAGTGAACACTTTGGATTTATGCACCTAACCTAATTACATATGCTGCATGTACGCATTTCATTATTTACTTGACAGATTCATTCCTTGATATAATAAATAATTAAACAAGAATCAAATATTAACAATCAGATACATGTTAAGTCTCCTTAAATCTGTAGAAACAAACTATATTTTTATCTTCAGTTCAACAAGCACTGATTAAAATTTCTTCATTAGGCAAATTTCATAAGCAAAGTTCTACTTTTCTTGCTTTCACTGAAAATTAAACCTGGAACAAATTATTCCGGGATTACTTCATGGAAAAAAATAAATGTAACAGTATTTCTAGCAAGCCATTGGATTTGTAATCTTCCATGAGCACTGCTGTATCTTATACATGAAACATTAATCTAAGTGTTTGTTAGGAATTCTCAAAGATGGTCTTATTATAAACCAGAAGCCAGTATCAAATTGGTTGCTAGTGGTATATTACCAGAGATGTCTTGTGGGATAATGGTTTTAACCAAACAATTATTTTATAACTTGTTTAAAGAATAATTCCATGACATTATGGACAATGGTAAAACTCAATTTGGGCTGAAAATTTACACTGAGGACAAAGTATAGCTGTTGCTTTTCGCACTTTAATGAGCTAGCTTTAAATTTTTTTATTCACGTATATCAACATCTTCATTGATCAAACTATTCTCACATTTTATCAAATTTGCTTTGGTAGAGGATACAATACAATTTCATCATTTAAAAAATATTAAAGATTCATAGATAGCCACATTATTCATAATGCAAGATTAATGCCAGGCTGACAGGTTTTTGTAAAGATCTGACTCTTTTTTTTCTAAGTGCATATACCATATCTATGTGAAATGTACCTCTGATGTTGCATATTGATTACTCCCTTCTCTTCTCTTCTAATGCTAAAGAGAGAATATTATGAAATGATTGTCAGGGTTAGTGTGTCTCTGACCTACACATGTACTATTAATAATTTATGAGCTGATTTGAAATACGGCACCAAGAAATCAACTGAGGACCACAGCCGCTCCCAGGATGACATAGACTCTGGGTTGACAGCATGTGTACCCAGATATTGAGGTTCTATTTGTTAAAATTCATAGAGAGACACAAATTCTTTGAGTGCCAGAGTTAACCGAATGGAAGGAAGCCACGCTTCTTTGTTAGAAATTTCAAGTAGCTACATTTATCTCTTTTCATCCAATCCTTTCTGCGACATGAAATTTCCTTTTTAAATTATTTAATCAGGTTGTCAAGTTAACTCATAGTGTCCATAAACACTGGAGAAGCTAAATTCAAATAATATGGAGGCATATAAAGTAAAAGATCAGGTCTTCCGTCTTATTTCCCCCATGCCTTCACACTCAAAGTTTGTCCAGTGTGTATCCTTCCAGACTGTTTTCTGTGTTCCTACAAAGACAGAGGAGGTGGGGAGAGAGAGTTCCCACTATTCTCAGAAATGTTCTCACACTCTACACACAGTGCTGCAGGCGGCTTTTTCCACTCAACAACATGTCAAAGACACCGCCCACATCAGCACATACATTTGTAGCTCAACTTTTAAACAACAATGTAGTGTTCCATTTTAAAGATGTCCTTTGATTCATTTATCCATTCCCTTATTAATATATTGGTAAGCTGTCTCAGATGTTTCATGATTTACAATGCCACATATACTGAACATACATACTTACGCCCTTGCTCAACTATTTCTCTAAGATAGAGTCCTAGAAGTGGAGTTGCTAGGCCAGTAACTGATTGTTAAATATCCTGAATCCACTAATTAGGGAAGGATAGATAAATATTCTTACTTAGGATTTAAATAATGTAACATTACACCAACATATATGCTCATAATATTTAAGTTCATTTCTTTAAAAAAGTTGGCTGGGCTCGGCAGCTCACGCCTATAATCCCAGCATTTTGGGAGGTTGAGGTGAAAGGATCACTTGAGCCAAGGAGCTCAAGACCAACCTGGGCAACACAGCAAGACCTGCCTCTATCTTAAAAATACAAAAATTAGCCAGGCATGGTGACATTTGCCTGTGGTTCCAGCTACTTGGGAGGCTGAGGTGGGAGGACTGCTTAAGCCCAGGAGTCTGAGGCTGCAGTGAGCTAAGATAGCACCATTATACTCCATCTGTTTTTAAAAAAAAAAAAAAGTACATTTTTAAACTTTAATAAAATTGAGTAATTTTAAAAATTAGTTATATTAATTTCATGTGTGAGTAGCTTTATACAAAGCAAACTAAAGTCTAAGTTTTTTTAATGCTTTAGCAATATGTCATCAAGCCACACATCTATATATATTATTTTCAAATCATTGTCCAAAGCAGCCAGTCTTCATTATAGCAATACTACAAATAACTAGCACTTGAAAAGTGTGTTTATAGAGATTGACAACTGTTATACTACTGAATGCTTTTCAAAATATATTCAAAAAATTTTATGTGTGAAAACATTTCATGTAAGAAATCTAATTATAAACAATGTTGTTATGTTTATTTCAAACCATCCCAGGCAAGTATATTTGTAAAATTCTCTTCTTTTCACCTAAATTGTTTCAAGCCTTCTACAAAAAGTATAATGGTTACCCAGTGTGTCTGTCAAGTTCTATTATATGAACTAAAATATGCTTTCAGAAAAGATACCTCGCATCCGATGACAGGCACTTCCTATCTGCTAGGATTCATAAAAATTGGAACACTGATCATTTCTTGTAGAGATTTTCTTTAGCAAGAAGATAAAGGGAAACCTTGTTATGCCAAATGACTTACTAGTCAAAAGTAGCCAGGACACTGAAACCTGGAAACTAGTTAATGGTTCGTAACAAGTCAGAAATAAAGATGTTCAACCAAGAAAATGACATTAAGCAGCACTGGCTACAAGAGAAAAGAGCAGCCTGTCAGAATCATGCAAGGGCTGTGGTGACAGGTAGACAATAAAATGGGATGACACGGGTTCCTCTCAGCAGGGGGTTTTAAACAGCTTTCTCTTGGGAGTTTCCATGCACTTCCCTTATAGGAAACCTTCTCTCTAAAAATGGCAACAGGCCCCTTGGAGGTCTTATTAAAATTCTCCCCCTGTGTTATAAAGTGTGTTGGATAAGGCAGATGACAGTACCTGAACAGTTAATTCTTCATTGTATAAAGGAAAGTAGGGACAACAGTCACACCAGGAAGGTAGCTAGGTGGCCGACATAGCCCAGTAATACTGCACAGTAGGCATTGTGGAACAGGAAATGAGTGAGAGGGGAAAATCCATCCACAATCCCACCTAGAATGGCAGACAGCAGGAATCCAAACAGAAGCAATATCATATATATAAATATTTCATATTTAGATTGGTATCCATTATATCTGTAAATGAATTTCATATACTAGTTTAAATCTCCATAGTGGTCAGTCCTATAGCATCATTAGGATGAATATTGTTTTCATTTTTAAGAGAAATTTTCTTTCATTCACTTTCTGCCACTAAACTGCGGCCATAACAGTGTATCTCTAGCTACCTCATTATGGGCCATAAAGGATATGCCAAGAAAGAATGGAAAGAAAGCAAAGAACCCAGTGATTGCCTGATGAGTTCCTTAATATCCGTAATTTCAAGGGTTTGATCTCTACTTTATCCACAATAATGCTATTTCAGTTTTTTACTTAACCTTGTTTCAACGCAAAGTTATATCATTTCATATATGTTTATTTAAAGAGTTTTAATGCCACTAAACTAATTTCCAATAAAGTAATAGCTGTTAGAACAGTCTTTGTTCTTATAAACCATTTCTCTCTTTTTTATTCTATTTCCAACATATTTTAAGCATCTAACAAAATAAGCATTTCATAACCTTTTTCAGCTAAATTTTTTTTCTACTAATGTCATTTCAACTAGCGGGAGGTCTACATTTTCCACACTGCACTTCTACATTTAAAATTATTTCCGCTATAGATTAGTTGTCCCTTAGTGAGCGATGCAAAAATCCTAGCCTCTTTAAGCCCATCTTGTTTGACAGCATGCGATATTTGCATGAAATAAAAAACAAATATTTGTTCTTTTTATACAAGCTGTCAGCACAAGCTTAAGTTGTTTAGAAACCTATTCTGACAAACAGAATTGGTGTTTTCCACATGATATATGATGAAAGGTCAACAATAGGTAAAATCAAAATTTTTTAAAAGAAGAAAAGAATTGGCATGCTTTTTTTAAGACAAGGTCTTGTTATATTGTCCAGGCTGACTTTGAATTCCTGGGCTCAAGCGATCCTCCTACCTCAGCCTCCCAGGTAGCTGAGACTATAGGCATGCACCAGTGCGCTCAGCCGATATGCATTTCTTAAACCAAAGGTGATCCTGTTGTGCCATAAAGTACATAGTACACTGACAATTAAAACTTCTTTGTTTACTTGTTTGTTTAAGAAAGCATGGACTTAATTCAAATTGCTCACTTACCAATGTATTAACGTTAGGTCCACCACAGGGATAGGTATAAGAAAATGTTCTTTGTTACCTTAAAAAGTTGCCAATTAAAGTTGCATTTCAGCTCTTTTCTCCA